GGAAGGTAATTTTTTTCCCTCCCCGTAAGTCGCCGACTGCTGCCGACGATGACGTTGGCGTACACCCCTACCGTTCCACTGGGCGTACTCGAAGGCGTATGGGGCATCTGTCAGCTCCCCACAGATCAGAAGACGGGTTGATTCCGTCAGAGGGCCCAGGAAGCCAGAAGGCGAGGGGGAAAAAAAAAAACAGAAAACCGGCGTACCGCGAAGGCTGAGGCCCCGAGGAAGGCCTCAGGTCAACTTCCGTTTGCCTCCCCCGCCGCAAGGGCTATTGAGACGTCTCCCCGCAACCGAAGCAGTTTGGCTTTCTTGTCGTTTCTTTGTATTTCGTATATTTGGTGGTTTGACAAGGATCGGAGAGATCGCAGATGATGTGTGGGAAAACTGGATGTACCGGTGGTGGTTCCGCCTTTCGTCGCAGTGCCGGGAGAGGTCAAATCAGCTTCAAATCAACGTTGTCTCAAAAGAACGTATCTACAAAAGTCGCTCTCAATGCTGTCAACGGGACAGTCTAGTTACTATGGTGTAACAGATTAACAACTCTGCATCACACAATAAGCTTTGGAGCGTAAAATATTCTAATTTGTTTACTATCACAAGAAAATTTAAAACCACTAGCGACAACTTTTGTGGGGCAATGATAAATAATGATAATAAAGAAGTAATGTTCATAAATAATGATGTTGACATATATATGCACACACCTTTTTGCCCCTGTAAAGCCTTGAGGTTGACATCCTTGAGCATAGCAACGCAAGTGCATTCGAGTATATTTAATTGTCTTGGTTCTAACAAATTGTTGAAGAAGTCTTTATTTTGGTATAAAAATAGTAACAAATAAATTACATAAATAGTTATGGAAACTTTTCTCCTTAATTACAACATTATTTTATTCTTATGAAATCATTTTCGAATGGGAGGAAACAGCTGATTGTGGTTCAGGATATTTTCAATAGACAAGTGCGTAGCAAATTATTTTTTTCTGTAAAGTATTCATAGACGGAATCATATGCCAAGAGAGAACTAAGAATCTAGTCACTTAAGTGAATTGGTCAGAGTAGTGAATCATTTTATGTAGATATCTTTTCATGTAGGTGGAAGGTGACCGGTTCAGAAATAAAATGATTGACGTTGAGATAAATTATTTTGTTTTTTGTTTCGGTTGATTAGGTGGTGATGATACCTTGTATAGTGGGGGAATATTGATTATAAATTTAGTATTGAATATTATTTTTTTCTTTCTTTCTTATCCTATGCTCCATATGTCCTAATGTGCCCACACAACATTACTGGTAAAGTTTCCATTTGTAAAATAATCATATTCATAATATACATTACATGAAATCGATGATTTGATAAATACCATGATACACATTTATGAGAATTTTTTTATAGGGTATCACAAGGGAGCTATACAAGGTCTATCATGCAGGATTATATTGGCCTTTGCCTTACTGCTAAAAGTGCAACGGCCACTTTGCCATGCAGGCAGAAATGGGTAAATTTAGGTGTTCAAAAACATTTTCATTGCTCTTTCCAAATTTAGAAGTTGTTTCATGAAAATTTTATAACTTGATAATAACTAACAATAACTGTAGCTTCAGACTTTTTCCTTTAGCAAAGGCTGGTAAATATCTTGTCTATATATATATATATATATATATATATATATATATATATTATATATATATATATATATATATTTATGTATATGTACATATATATTATATAATATATATATATATATATATATATATATATATATATATATATATATATATATATATGTGTGTGTGTGTGTTATGCGCTCACTTAGCACCCAACGCATAAAACTTTGAGATTGAGATTGAGATTTTGGAAGTCTGAATTTGTATTGGTTTCTTATTCAATAACAAATTGCATGCAAGATCAACAATAATTCGTAGAGACTAGATATGAGTAGCCCACAGCGTCCATGTCACTGGTAGAATTTGAATGTTTGAGGCATTTTGGCAAGCATAGGTCAAGTGAGGAGATTGTTTTTATGGAATGGTTAAAATATAACCCTGCACATGATGGTTATTTTACATAAACATATTTTTGAAAGTGTGATGTTTAGTAGATATCTCATAGAAGAAAGGCTTGTCAATCTTTCAGCTTAATATACTTCTTATGGCATTACAAAAAAGCACTGTTTATTTTCTTATACTCTTACTTTAACTCAATTGATCAACAGGGTTTATCCACCTTTAGTAAGGCCAGCCAACATCCCGCACATATAATCCTGCAGGATAGATCATGGACTGGTCCCTTATATAGCAGTTAATCACCTTTTAGGTCTACAAGCTTCCCCTTACCAGAATACAAGTGATGGAAGTTTTCTTGGTTACTACTAAAGTGCTAAAGTGTGTAGTCAGTTGGCAAACACTAGGTTGTTTGTGCAACAATAATTTGTTTTGGTATTATACAGAGCTCTACCTAGTTCATTCTCTTTCATATTTTTTATTCTTCACTCTTTTATGATTTATACAACAGCTTCTAATATTCCCCATGTCTCATCTGTCTATTTTGTCATTTAGTCCATCAGGTGCATAGTATATGAATAGATCATATTTTATTTTGATGTATTGTGTTGTTTTTCCTTGGATATAAGTTAAAGTGAGTAGATTATATAAGGATGGAAGTTTGAATGATTTGTCTATTTAAATAATGTGTATTTTTCCATCAGAAAGTCCAGTTCTTTGAGCTTTAGTGGCTGTCTGTGTCTCAGGGATCAGTTTGAAGGACTTTTTTGTGGTATGTTTTTTTTCTCAAACTTTATTTAATTTATGCTGTTGAGTAAAACAGATTCTTTTTATATCTTATTTCTTCTGCAAAAGAGGAAAATCTTACCATTGTCAATCAAAATTACTATTTGCTTTGGATGTGAATGTTTTCTCTGAAGGATGCATTGACAGTGTGTGCGTGTGCGTGTGCGTGTGTGTGTGTGTGTGTGTGTGTGTGTGTGTGTGTGTGTGTGTGTGTGTGTGTGTGTCTGTCTGTCTGTCTGTCTGTCTGTCTGTCTGTCTGTCTGTCTGTCTGTCTGTCTGTCTGTCTGTCTGTCTGTCTGTCTGTCTGTCTGTCTGTCTGTCTGTCTGTCTGTCTGTCTCTGTCTCTCTATCTGTTTATATGCACACATATACATTGATATGTGTGTGTGTGGTGTGTGTGTGTGTCTATCTGTCTGTCTGTCTCTGTCTGTCTCTGTCTATCTGTTGTCTGGTGTGTGTGTGTGTGTGTGTGTGTGTGTGTGTGTGTGTGTGTGTGTGTGTGTGTGTGTGTGTGTGTGTGTGTGTGTGTGTGTGTGTGTGTGTGTTGTGTGTGTGTGTGTGTGTGTGTGTGTGTGTGTGTGTGTGTGTGTGTGTGTGGTGTGTGTGTGTGTGTGTGTGTGTTTGTGTGTTTGTGTGTAAAGAATATGTATATAATGTTTATGTGTATGTGTCTGTATAGGCTAAATGAATTGGTGCTTTTACCTAACTTTTAGTTAACTTGTATATTTTCTGTATTACTTCATGTCTTACTGGCCTGGTTAAGATATGTTTGATGATGGTCAATTTAGGCTTGGAATTTTGCATGTAGATAATATTTTCTGGTATCTTTTAACTTCTGATGGGTTTGGTTTTAGAATAAATATTATAATGTTTTAAACAGTCTCATGAATTTCTAGCTAGACAGGATGATGTTTCATATTAATTTTTTATGTTCCTGTTTGATATGATGTGCATTTGAGAATAGGACAAATATTTTTATTTATTTTTCTTCTTTTGATTTTTTACATCCTGTATTACTGTTCATTACCTACATGATATTTTAAAGCATAAAATGTTCATTCTTTAGATATCTGGCTTGTGCAAATCCATACTGGTAACTTTGCAAAGTACATGTGAAAGATTTTTTGGCAAGCGGTAAGTGTGTGCCTGGATGCTTATTTGAAACCGTTTGAAAAAAGTTGCACTAATGGTGTAGTGGCAAAACAACACAAACTTCTACCACTATCCTAAAATTTTACAAATTCATACCAACTAATTAGTAGCAAGGTAAAAAGCAATTTTAATGTAATGTGTCAGAATGATGCACCCATAATATAGAAGCTGCACATGTTGGGACATCAACATATATTCCGCACGCGAGGCAAAGTTACCAGGCTGGGTACAAATAGTTTTTAGAAATTCTAAAAGATTTTAGATAAGTACATAATTGTTCATATGATCTTATATTAACTTTTTTTTGTATGTAGTCCTAATTGACATTATTTGTAGCTACACATTACAAAAAGGGCAATGGAATGATATATCATCCTTCTTTCAGAATGGTACTAACAAGAATTCTGCCCTCAAGATTGAGGCCAGGACTTCGGTCTCTTCTTATCTCGAGCCGGAGAATGTCATCCAGTGCGCCTGAGGTAATACTAGAGGATGTGGGGGACAAAGGCCTGATTACACTGAACCGACCGAAGGCCCTCAATGCCCTCAACCTCAACATGGTACGACTCATCTACCCGAAGCTGAAGGAATGGGAAAATACTAAGTCCATGGTGATTATCAAAGGTAAGAGAAGCTGGTTGAAGAAAAACTCTTTCTTTGTGGCGTGTAGCTTTTTTTCTTTCTTTCTTTCTTTGTTTTCTTTGTGTGTGTGTGTGTGTGTGTGTATGTGTGTGTGTGTGTGTGTGTGTGTGTGTGTGTGTGTGTGTGTGTGTGTGTGTGTGTGTGTGTGTGTGTGTGTGTGTGTGTGTGTGTGTGTGTGTGTGTGTGTATGTATGTATATGTATGTATGTATGTATGTATGTATGTATGTATATGTGTGTGTGTGTGTGTGTGTGTGTGTGTGTGTGTGTGTGTGTGTGTGTGTGTGTGTGTGTGTGTATGTGTGTGTGTGTGTGTGTGTGTGTGTATGTGTGTGTGTGTGTGTGTGTGTGTGTGTGTGTGTGTGTGTGTGTTTTTTAAAGACAGAGACAAATAGACTAACAGATCGATAGATTGATAGACGGAGATTATGTGTAGGGAGTATGCTTATTTTGGATGTATGTTTAAGTTTCTTTTTTTCTTTTTCTGTTTGTGTAAATACTTTTCCTTAGTATTTATGTTATTATGGCTTCTTCTCTTGGTGAGTGAAGGAATAGATTTAGCCCCTATGATCCAGATGATGTGACCATCATGTCATGAAAAAATTTGGCTTAAGGACCATGTGAAGTGAACATGCCATTATGGGAAAATTTGGGTTGCCTCTTGCTCGTGGTAACCCAAAACTCATCATGAGCATTTCAGCTGAAAGCCATGGTAACAGAAATGACTTGCCATGAGTGCACACAGCTTTTGGAGGGTGACTAGACTAATTTGGCACTTGGGAAAGGCTGTTGCAGTATTTCCATTGATAAATAAGTGTGGAATGTACCATCCATGAGCCGTGACTGGAAAAGTGTCAGCTCCAGGGAGGACAATATTTCCATGCTCAGGATCTTATTCCTTGCCACTGTGACCAGCAGTGCAAGTTGTATTACAGAAAATTTAATATTATATATATATATATATATATATATATAAAAAGACAAATAATAAAATGTTGCTTGCACTATTCTTATTATTGCACTGAGTTATAGACTACCTAAGTAGATAATGTGGAGACTGCGCAAGGAAAATAGTCTATTACCATCTGGATAAAGCAAATCAAATGACAAATATAAACATTGGAAAATGGAAAAAAAGCTAAATACAGGTATGCAGAAAATAACATTGGAAAGGGAAGACATGCAGTCGTTTCACTGCACATGAGTGATTGTGTGCGCCCAACCTACAAGCTGCACACCTGTCAGAGTGGCCACTCAAGTAAGCCAAATGACCTTATTTTGGGCCAAGTGATGGCAGAGAAGCATCTGGATCAAATGGGTTAAAGATTATTGTTTTTGTAAAATATATATCCTAAGTTACATGATTAGCATAAGCATTATAAATGGCAATAGAAAGTATACAAAATTGTATTTTATAAGTAGCATGCTTTTAAAATGTAACATTATGAATTATAGCATTAATATCATTTATACAGGGGCAGGAGAAAAAGCTTTCTGTGCTGGTGGTGATGTGCGATCCATTGTGGAGGGGAAAACAAACGGTTCTGAGATTGGCCCAGATTTCTTTCGGGAAGAATACATGCTCAACTGCCTTATTGGAACCCTTCATATTCCATACATTGCTCTTATTGATGGTAATTCACCACTACTTATTTTTCTTCATTTTCTTTTACCCTTTTTTAGGCATGCACAGGCTTAGTATTTTATTTGTTTATATATTTTTTTATGTAATATATAGGAATGCAGTATTTTTGAGGGGCTGGAGTTTATATAATTTTATTCTTTAATTTTATTGGTGATTTATTGAAGTCTGCTGGTTCTGTCAGGTAATTGTAATAATTTGGATGATGTTTACAGCTTGGGTGTCAGAATACTGTATTTTGGCATATAATTATTTTAAAACCACAGAACTTACAATATAAAGTAATTGTAATTAGTGTAGTATAATACAACTGACAAGATGCTTATCCTAGAGCTTACTGTTCAGAATAAAAGATAAATAGATAAACCACAAGGTCACATTGATCTTATCACCAAGTATCATCTTTAAATAGGTAGTATGGTGAGAATAACAAATAAGGCAGTTAGGGTTATCTGCTATTTAGAAATGATGAAGGACCATGTTATTTTGTAATTTTGTAATTAGTTTTATTAGTAGCTATGGTAAATTTTCTGATGAATTAGTCAAGAAATTATACTTTTTCTCAGTAACATAATCAGAAATGTTTTTACTCATTGATGCCAGAATAACAAATATAACTGCTGCATGCATTATGATTTTATTTTATTAATTGAGTTTATGCAAAGATAGCTCCCCAAGTACTTAGCCAATTACTAGTCTGACCTGTCTCACCTATCTATCCCTTTTGCTTAATTTTCAGAAGGATTTAAAAAAAGTTATTGCTGTTAGTATTGTTAATAGCATTATAATAATCATTATGTAAAAAAGAAAGAAGATTGATAAGAACAATAATAATGATACAAAAATCAATATCAATGGCACTAGAAAAAATCCACATTTTTTTTAGCAAAGGGAAATCATGTGAGGTGTTGTAACCCTATTGCTTCGCTCCATGGTGGCTGAGCACTTCTGGAGCCATCAGTCTTCAAAGTTCACAAAGTAAAGCTACATTAGACAGTACATGTATCCAGCAGCAATGGGTTAGACTAATTGATTTGATATATTATATGATTATTTAGAATAGTGTCTCCCAGCCATGTGAAAGTGGTGCTTTCATTTTTCAATTTTAGAAAGATTATCAGGTAAAAGTACTTCTGCTGTCTTTTGAAAGATGCATCATAGAGATCAGAGTATGTCAATGTAATGCATTGTGCTTGCACAGAATGGAAAAGCATACAAGTAAGGTACATATTCTAATTAGAATAGCTTTTATCAATAAATTCTTTCAGGTATCACAATGGGTGGTGGTGTAGGTTTGTCTGTTCATGGAGATTATCGGGTCGCCACGGAACGAACTCTTTTTGCAATGCCGGAGACTGCCATCGGGCTCTTCCCAGATGTAGGGGGTTCTCACTTCCTGCCTCGACTGGGCGGACGATTAGGGATGTATTTAGCTCTTACAGGTGTGTGAATTTTTTCTTTATATTTTGCATAGTGTACATATTTTTTTATACAAATTTTCATAATATACTTTGTTTTTTGAAAACTTCAAATGTAAGAATGGAGTTAGTTGTTTGGAAAATATATGATTTAGTGTAGTTCAGATAGATCATTGGAATGAAATTTTTACCCTAAGGGAAACAACAAGGGAGTTTTTGTGTAATTTTGTGTGTGTTTCTTTAATTTGACAGCAGACAGATTGAGGATGAAGACTTAACATTTACAATTCTTCAATTTCAGGTCACAGATTAAAAGGAAGAGACGTACTGAAAGCAGGTGTTGCCACTCATGTGTGTGATGCTGCGAGAATAGGAGAGTTGGAGGAGGCTTTGCTGAAGTTGAGCTCTCCATACCCAGAGGATATTGCACAAGTCATTGAGAGCTTCCACAAAGTATGCCAGAAATCTAGGTCTTGATTTTAAGAATTCCAATTTGAAGTATTTTTGTGAATATTGAAAATTTAAAATGTGCCTTTTTTTTTTTTCTTTTTTTTTTTTCAATAGAGAGTTATTTACAATACTTGATTCATATATTTTTCTTTTCTTAAAAAAGGACAGTTATTTTAGTTGTTGTTTTTGTAGCGTGTGATAAAGCTAGAATTCAATATGCATTATCGGTTCTCTTCCTTTGTTTTTTAGATATTTTCAGTATTGGCTTTCATTAGTGTAGTTGAATGAATATGTTTTGATTGCTTATTATGAAGTTAATTGTTTATTTTGAAATAATTTCCAGTTACTACTATATATTTTATCTTACAGGAGTCTACCTTCAGTAAAGATGTGCCATTCTCACTACAGCCCATGCTTCCAAAGATCAAGGCTTGTTATTCTGCCGGCAGTGTTGAAGAGATCATTTCAAACCTTGAGAAAGTGAGTGTATTGTCCTATATAATACTTGTATAAAATCATGTGTTTGGTAATAGGAAAGTAGTTTTTTGGGGGAACAACCATTTGTTGGATGAAAAGTGAGATTTCTCAAATGACATGTTTAAAAAAAAATCTGATCTTTCAGTATTGACTATCTAATCCTGACAGGATGGATCAGAGTGGGCCCAAAAGCAACTACAGACCCTGAGCAAAATGTCCCCTACCTCGTTAAAGGTGACCTTTGAACAGATAGAACGAGGAGCGCACCTTACCCTCCAGGAGTGCCTTACCATGGAGTTGCGTATGGTATGGCGGTTCTACCATGATCATGACTTCAGTGAAGGTGAGAGTTTTGCGGAGTATATGTATATCTCTTATTCTTACTGTCCTTATGTGTGTTGTTGTCATGTCCCTCGGTTTTGTTAGAGGATAGCATTATTATTGTTATATTATGAATGTTGGTTTTGAGCGGTGGTAGTGGTAATAGTACTGATTCTGTCAATAATGATATGAATGATAATGATACTGTCAATATTATGATTGCTGATACTTTTGTCATTATCATCATGATAGTTATTATAATATATATTATTTCTGTTAATATTATTATTATTATTATTATTATTGCTGTTAGTAGTAGTTGTTGCAATGATTTTTGGGTATTCATTTTTGTAATTATTATTCTACTGGGGCAGAAGAAACAAAGCCAAAGAACCACTTGCAAGAGGAAATGCATGAAATCAACTCTGCCCCAAAACATGCAAAAGAAGACAGTTTAGGCTTATCAGAGAAACTTCAAGATACCCCATTTAAAACACCAGACCTCAATATTGACCAGTTCCATAGTGGTAAAGATTTACCCAAAGGAAAGAAAAGAAAGCGAGGCCATGGGGAAGCTGCATATGATGGGAAAATTCTCAGGAAAAGCCCAAGACCAAATTATTTTGTTGGTATCAGAGTCTCAGACTGTGAAATTCATAGAACAATTGTGAGGATTCAAGAGGCTATCATAGCATCTGATTCCAATTTATATCAGGCTCTGATTGATGTAGCATCTTCGCACATTACAGTGTTGGTTATGTACATTGATAGTGATATTGCTCTCTCCGTTGCTTCTTCAGCACTAGATACATGCTGGGATAAATTGAAAGAAGATATTGAAGAAAGCCCCATACAGATGACATTTTCAGGGATAGGGAGCTTTTCAGATAGAGTAGTTTATGCTAGATTGAGAGAGGATGAACACTACTTTAGATTACTCAAACTAGCCAAGGAAGTGCGCCAAATATTTTCTAATGCAAGTGTGTGTTTGCCTGATGAAAAACCCATGCAGCCTCATCTGACAATTGCCAAGATGTCAAAGGTTCGTCAGAAGGCAGGCAGCTTCCCAAGGAATATCAATCCTGCAGCTTACCAGCCCTTGAAGAATATTTACTTTGGATGCCAATCAGTGTCAGGGCTTCAGCTCTTGAGTATGACCAGACCAAAAGACTTGGAAAGGTACTATTATTGTGCCAACGAGATAATATTTGATGAAACTTGCAAGGAAAGAGGAGATCATTCTTATTGTTGCTTTCCTAGAAGACCTTTAGGTTATGTGTAGAAGTTGGAGTGAAAGTGGTAAGAATTTTTCCATTGGAAATGCAAAAGTCTTTGAAAAATGTCAATGATTAGTGTGTGTGTGTGTGTGTGGTGGTGTGTGTGTGTGTGTGTGTGTGTGTGTGTGTGTGTGTGTGTGTGTGTGTGTGTGTGTGCGCGTGCGCACATTCATGTGTGCGTCCATCCATGTGTGCATACATCCATGTGTGTGTGTGTCCGTGCGAGCGTGTGTGTGTTTGATTGTGAGTGATTGTATATGTGAGATGCTGCTATCTTCATTATGGGAATTGTTCTTATTCTATTAGTATGGTATTTATTAAGATAGGTAATTGTTTTTGTTTTTCCATATATTTGTATATTTTTGTTGTTACTGTTCATTTAATATTGTTTTGCAGTCTTAATGATTATTATCAGTATTGTCCATGTATGTGTGTGTCTGTGTGTGTGCATCCGTGTGTATGTGTCCATATGTGTGTGCATCCATGTGTGCATACATCCATGTGTGTGTGTCTGTGCAAGCGTGCGTCAATGTTTGTGTGTGCGTGTGTGTTTGATTGTAAGTGATTGTACGTGTGAGATGCTGCTATCTTCCTTATGGGAGTTGTTCTTATTCTATTAGCAGGGTATTTATTATTAAAGGTAATTGTTTTTGTTTTTCCATATATTAGTATATTTATGTTGATACTGTTCATTTAATATTGTTTTGCAGTCTTGATGATTATTATCAGCATTCTTACACATCTTATTTTGTTGGAGTTTAATATTACTTTTGTTCTAATCATTATTATTTAGAATGATTTGTATTAGGGAATGTTAACCTCCTGGATCCGGTTACAATGGTTACGCAAGTAGCCAGTATCCTGGGTATGCAGCACGTAGGTCAGGCGGACACGGACATCCATGAGCCTTCCCTTTGAGAAGTTATTTTGTGAAAACTTTTTTAGCTTTATCGCCATTTTCTAATATCCATATTTGTCTTTTGATTTGCTTTATCCAGTTGGTAATTACTTATTTTCCTTGCACAGACTCCATACCATCTATCGATATAGTAAATAGCTCAGTCCAAGAAAAAAAATATATGGAACATTTGGTTATTTGTGTCATATATCTCATTTTTTGTAATTTTCAATTTTACGTAATATAACCTGTGCCGCCGGTCACACCGGCCAGGAATACGATGCACAGCATGAAAATGGCGTCCTCCCTGGAGCCTGCGCTCTTCCACTCACTGCTTACACACGTTACATTCCACATTCATATATCGATGGAAATAATGCTAAAGCCCCCTTCTAAGCACCAAATGACTTGAATCACACTCCAAGAGGTTCACGTCATCCGTATAGCTACCCAAGTTTTTCCTTGATGTGATCGCAACATCATCTGGATCCAGGGGGTTAATTTTCTTTTCTTTGATAACCTAAATTCAATCTCTTTCTTATTACTACCTCAAATTTTATTCAAGTATTTAGCAGATTTTCTTAGTTTTTAGTTTTTTGTTTTCTTTTCATTTTCATTTGAAATATTGATCCAGATATAGTACAACAGTTTTTTTCACATCTTGTAGATATGTATTTATTAGCTGTATGTGATTTGATTAATGCATTATTTTCTTTTATTTATAAATAATTTGTTAGAAGTAACGTAGTCCAGAATATGATTTCCAGCATGTCAGCAGACATAATGCCACAAGGCAGTGTTTTAACAAATCTATGAATGCCCCATAGGCGTACAGGCCTTCTTCTCTGATAGAACTCCCCAGTGGAAGCCTGCCTCTCTGTCTGAAGTGACAGCGGAGAAGGTGGACGAGTACTTGTCACCTTTGCCAGATGAGGATGAAAACTTGTTTTAAACAGGAATGAACTCTTGCTGTATGTATGTCAGCAACCTTGAGTCATATTCCCTAGGCCTGGCCTACTTGTGCATTTGGGAGTTTTCTCTTTTGTATATTTTTCTTCTGCTTTTGTTATCTGAACACTTTTTTACCCTTGAATTATTTTATCAAGTAAACCTAGGGTGAAAATTTTCGTTTATTAAAAGTAATCTGCATATATTTTGCAAAATTTCTCCCTTCCCAGGTCTTGTGTGTAAAATGGTGGTACTTAAAATGGTTTTTGTGGTTTGTGTTGGAAGAAAAATATATGTATGCTACCTATTGTGAAGTAATTGTGCAATGTTTTTGAAGGCCTTAACATATACTGCATATAAATGATGAATCCCTTATCCCTGCTTGCATTAACTGTAAGCATTTTATTGATGTACTGAGGTACTTGGGTTTATCCCCATCATTTTATTTTTATGCTTGCTTTAACTGCTTTTTGACCGTATCTAATGGGCCGGGGGGGGGGGGGGGGTATCTTGGTGATTCTGTGAGTAAGCTTACACATTATGAGGAAGTTTGTATTCAGTGACAAGTGCCTGCAGGTCTTAAAAAGCAATTGGTATAAGTCTTAAGAAAGTCTTAAAAAGGTCTTAAATCTCATCAGCTTATACCTGCAAGAACCCTGTTTATATAGAAATTATGGAAAGCTTTATTCAGAGCATTTATAATATTAGTAACATCATCATTTTATCATTATTACTATCATTTTCATTGTTGATATATTAACCCAATGCTAATGGGAAAATGTGTTCATTGTAGCATTGTTTTCTTAAATGTTTCTGCACATAGATGGCTCTTCCAGTGCTTTGCCACTGTGTCAATTAGTAGATCTTGTGACCTCACCTTTCCTTGAAATAACAGGAAAAAGCCTTTTTTTTCACTAATGCTATCAATATTGATACTTTTATTTTTGTTATAAATATTATAATTACTGTATTGTTATTGACATTAATAACAGCAATATTGAATATTAGAAAATATTAAAAATCAAGGAAAAGGGTAAACAGGTGAGACAGGCAGTTCTCATTTTAGCTCATTGGAGACTTAATACTTGTGGAGCCATTTATATGTAAAAACAGTTACTAAATTAAACACACAGTAAGCACGGCATATGTGCACATGCCATCCTTGGCAGCATAGAGTTGATAAGCTTGACATTGAAAACATTAAGTTGTTGGTCATCCACAGCTCCTGCACATCACTGGAACTACAACACAAAAACCCTTTGCACAGAGAAACAAAACAATTATGAAATTAATTTTTTAAAAGTGCCTATCCATTCTTTGTTTTAAGTAGGCCAGGTATTTTTACATATAATTTACATTTGATGTTGTTCTGCAATAGTCTTTCAGTTCACAAACTGCACATAAAACAGTTTCTGTAAGTAGTGTATGTCAAGAAAATGATAGTAACCATAAGAATCGTGGAAGTATATATATATATATATATATATATATATATATATATATATATATATATATATATATATATATATATATATCATATTCATATTCATATTCATATTCATATTCATATTCATTCATATTCATATTCATATATTCATATTCATATTCATATTCATATTCATATTCATATTCATATTCATATTCATATTCATATTCATATTCATATTCTCTCTCTCTCTCTCTCTCTCTCTCTCTCTCTCTCTCTCTCTCTCTCTCTCTCTCTCTCTCTCTCTCTCTCTCTCTCTCTCTCTCTCTCTCTCTCTCTCTCCTTTTAAACAGTGGAGAAGAATGTGATGGTGTTTGTGAGAACAGATTGAAACCAAATTTCTATCTTTTCTCAGTACAACCTGGTCAGGTGATAATAAACATTCAACTATAATCCAGTAATTACTGTATATATCATATCTAGGAGAATATATAATTGCCATGTATGTAATAAGTTTTGCTTTTTTTTCTCTCTCTTTCTTTTTTTTCCATGATACCATTTCCATACCATCCCAATACCATGCTCGTTGTTGTCGTTGGGGGGGGGGGGCTTAGGAGACAGAGACTGAGGCCCAATGTAGGGTATCACCACTACCTTTGGCCTCAGCCCTAACCTCAACTAATTTTGTTTGGTCTTTTCTACTCCTCCTTTCCTCTTCTGTATCTTCTTCATCCCCTTGTTCTGTCCCATTCCTAAGATGTGAGAGCTGTGCTGAAAGGATGAAAGGCTGGCTTTGTGTCAGTCATGAATGGGGTCCGGGAGCCATGGCCATGTTATTCCCTTGGTTAATTGCCTAGCCCTTACCCCTTATGGGGACCCTGAGAGGTAGACCATTTCTTTTCCCCATTTTATTCAGGCCCACTATAGCCAATAATGAAGAATCTTTATCCTTATTAGGGGCATCAAGGCTTGCCGCTTCATGAACTAACCTATTTGAATTCGATTTTGAGTTTTTTTCAACTCATGCCCCTCCTTTGACCTTGGCTCCAACTATTGATTCTAATACCCTCTCCTCAACGTTAACTGACAACTCTATCCATTCTGAACCACCCACTCAGCTTATTACTCAATCTCCAGAATGCACCCCTTTCTCTCTCCCAACATTCTCCTTTCCATCTCCTACTGCACTGTCTTCTTCAAAGTCTACCCCGTCTTCCCTTATTACTACTCTTCACCTTATTGTCTTCTCCCCCACAGAACTATATACCACACCACCCCACACCGACCTCTTCATCAGCTAGCCTATCTGAATATAATTTTGATGGTTTCCGACCCTTGCCCCTCCTTTGACCATGGTCCCGACCACTGATACTAATACCCCTTCTTTGACGCTTACTGACAACTCCATCCCTACCAGAACATTCTCCCAGGTTATTACTCAGTCTCCAGAAAGTACCCCTTCCTCTCTCCCAACAGTCTCCTCTTCATCTCCTATTGCACAGTTCTCATCAATGTGTACCCCCTCTTCCCTTATTATTACTCTTCATCCTTATTATCCTCCCCCCACAGAACTACTCCACTCCACACCACCATGTCTTCCTCTAGCCCTCATCCTTTTACTGCCTCTGCCTCACCTTTTGAGTACTCTTTTTGGCCTAGCCAAGTGGGATCAATTCTTTGTGATTCCCCCCACAGCCCACAGCCCCTACTCTGAGAATGCTCTTCTCTTTCAGCAGTGCCTCCAAAAACAAGTAGGCGAAGTTACCTATCGCAATCGCTCCGATTGTTCATGCCTTGTCATCGTTATATATGAATTCCAAGCTTGTGCACTATTATCCTGACTGATCTTCCTGGCAAACCCATTCCTGCTGCACCTCATTCCTCCCTTGATACTTGTACTGGAACTGTTTCCATCCCCCTGAATGCTTGTCCTATCTACAACAAGAACTGGACAAACTATGAAAATGATCTACTTACCTGCCTTGCTGATTATGATGCAGTGGCAGTACAGTGCTACACTATTTCTCCCAGAGGTCAGCATAAGTCCCATGTCAGTATTGCCAAGATTAGCTTTGGTAGACATGACCTCCCCCATGAAGTTTATAGTGGTGGATTGTCCTGCCATGTCCGACCATATTGACCCCTTCCAAGTCAATGCCAGAAATGTTGGCATTTTGGCCACCTAGCCAAACACTGTTGCTCCGCAGCCTACTGCCCTCTATGTGCACAACCTGGCCTTGACTGTTCCCTGCTCAGTCACGTACATATGCCAACTGTGGAGACTTTCATAATGTATTTTATAGGAACTGCCCTGCCTTTAAGTTTGAATGTGAGGTAGCAGGCCTCAAATTCAAACTAGGCTTCACTCTACATGAGGCCTGACAGGAAGCACAATGACAACACCCTCCCAACATACCCCATCCTCTAATCGCTCCCACCTGAATACTCACATGCGAATCCCTTCTGTCACAACAGGCTCCTTTTCCAGACCCTACCACTCCAGACATTCTTCCTGATATTTCACCACTTTCCCCAGTTCCCTTTTCTCATCCCCCAGGTTCTTCTCCTCCTACTTCTCCAACAGCTACCATTGTTTTCCTTGAACAATGTCCTTATTCCTTCACCAGTCACAGATACACTGCAATTCAGTCAATTGCTCTTCCCCCTTAACCCCTTCCTATTTTACTGATCTCTGCCCTACTTCATTTACTTCCCTTTTTTTCCCTTTTCACTACCATACTATCCTATAATGCTCTCTGATTTTTGACATCTAATACTGCCCCCCTCCCCGGATTTTCTCATACTTTTCCAACAACCATCTCAGTTTTCCTTGAACATTGTTCCTATTCCTTCTCCAGTGACAGATGCGCTGCAGTTCACTCAATCACCCTACCCCCTTAACCCTCCCCTTTCTACTAATCTCTACTCTACTTTACTTGCTCCCCTCCTTTCCCTTTTCACCATACTATCATAGCATTCTCTATCTTTGACATCTAATACATTGTGTCCAAATCTTTAACTCCTCTTTATCCTTTTCAACACAATACTTTATCATAGTGCTATATGACCTTTGGTGTCTAGCACATTTATTTATTTAGAAATTAAACATTAAACAGACTTCTTCTATAAGTCCTAAAATACTATTTGACATCACATATTGAGCTGTATCTATTATTTATGCAACTATACACACAATTGTCTATGTAATTCCATACACATACATATCCTAAGAAATAAAAGAGTTGCATTAAATTTCACATGGAAGGGTCAGCCCAAACATGGATTTTGCAGTTACTCTTTCATAATATAACATGAATTAAGGCAAGTGATCAGCTTTAATTATACACAATAACAATAAACAGTGTTGGAACTGAAGAGGCAAGTATTGATATATAAATTGCAAGAGGATTAGAATAAAGTAAGCTGTAAGCTACTTGCCAATTCAATAAGTGTAACCTCCTGCTTGTAAGTGATCCACATGGAAAGACTAGTGTTATGTGTAGATCAGCTACGATAAAAATATAAATGTTCATTCAGCAAATATTACATGTCATTCTGACTCTCCTTCTAGGTGTAAGAGCACTGCTGATTGACAAAGACCAGAATCCCAAGTGGAAACCAGCCACCTTGGAGGATGTTCCAACCACCGAGACAATCAACCGATACTTCGCTCCCCTTCCACCTGAAAACGAACTTGTTTTTTAAAGGTTGTTTAGTATTTTAATGATCAGATGTCAGTGGGTTGTAGATATTCTTCAAGCTTTGGAAATAAGTAATGGCAGTGAAAAAGCAGTTACAGTGGTAATATATTTTTTTAACAGCAGTGAGAGGTTTGAAATCATACCTGTACAGTGATTTTATTGCAGTAGCATATTTCATCGTTCTTTCATGGTGTTATTTGTAAGAGGATTGTTATTTACATTGTTTTAAAATGGGTGGCATTTAAAGAAATTTCCATTAAGAATTTACTTTGTGCTTAAATATCCTTTTTAACAAAAAATGCAGGTTGTCAGGTATGTGTGTACAGTGGATGAAGGATGAATGAACAGCCAAAATTATCCTGAAAAAAAAAGTGTCCAAATTATTCATATTCTAGATGTTCATTAAACCATCATTGTATCTTTTTGCACATTAAGATATTAACTTTACTTTTGAAAATTCTTTATTGGAAATAGAGAAACTGTTTGTTGGGATATTAGGATAATCTTTCATTATTAATATTATTATTGTTGTTGATATTATTATTATCATCATTATCATTAAGAACTGCTTGAATTAATATGAAATGTGATCAAAAGTAAAGAACTGTATACGTGTTGCAAATCCATGATTTAGAATAAAAAATGAGAAAAGATGATCATAAATTATGGTTGTGTGGTGATTGGTAACTCTTCTTCTTCTTCTTCTTCTTCTCTTCTTCTTCTTCTTCTTCTTCTTCTTCTTCTTCTTCTTCTTCTTCTTCTTCTTCTTCTTCTTCTTCTTCTTCTTCTTCTTCTTCTTCTTCTTCTTCTTCTTCTTCTTCTTCTTCTTCTTCTTCTTCTTCTTCTTCTTCTTTCCTCCTCCTCCTCCTCCTCCTCCTCCTCCTCCTCCTCCTCCTCCTTAAACAGGAGCAGCTAACAGTGATACTGTAGGGTCACATGTATGTACAAATGTTTTCTCAGTTTTTAGTTAATATTTGTAGGATTTACTTGTATTGAAAATCTTCCTGTAGATTACCATGATTTTGTCAGTATTTTGTAATTATTCAGCGGTACGTAATTTACTGTTATTTGGTTCTTCACAAATTGGAAAAATAGGTGGAAAGAAAAAAGCAGACTGCAGATTTAATCAACTTTGAATTGTTATTACATAGTTTAGCCAGTAAAATTGTCATTTGTCTGTAGTCATTACTAAATAATATTGAGATTTCTGTATCAGAATGTGTTCATTTATGTACATCTGTCACAACTTGTATATGGCAGCCAAAAAAAAAGAAAAAGAAATTACCTAGAGAAATAAAAGATGAAACAAGTGCTTGGATTCATTTCTGCATCTGTGGCTTCAAATTATGAAAAGGTTTTCATGTCTTAAGTATTCTTAGCGCATTCTAACCAACTGTAATTACAGCATTAACAGAAAAGACAAACAGGAGATCCCAAAGATTTACTGATTTTAAGTCTGCCAGAATCTTGAAAATCTTAAGTATATGGGCATTAGCAGTGTTGCTTTAACCCTTTTTCTTGGGACAACTGTATTTCTATCTGTATTTATTTAATTCACAGGGAACTTGTTATAGAATCCATTATTTTTAGCAATTAATTTGGAAATGTAGATTTTAGAAACAATTATAAAAATGCCCCCAGCATGAGGCTATAAAAAATGTAAACTATGTCTAACATTATCGTTGGGACAGCCCTTTAAAATGGACACTTGGTGTATTTTTTCATGTCCTGAACACCTCTCTTACTGTGAGCTTGTTTTCATAACTTATCAGGGGCAATGGAAGGTGTATTCATAGTCCATGCTCTTTGATCTCCATTTTCATGCGTTTACGTGATGCTCTATCTTCCTATGCTCCCTTATTTATTTATTTTATTGTTTGTTTTATGACTGTCTCATCCTCCTTTATCCTCTTTAGATGACTAGTCTCGTACAGTCTTCCTTGCCTTCTCATCTGTATTACATTTACTTTACTTATTAATTTTCCCCAGTGATACTCCACTTATCCGTACTCTAGACCTGCTTTTTAATACCCTCCTTTGAAAAGTTTATGGAAGTTGCCTTTAGTTTAGTTTCACTGCTATAACTTAAATTTTTTTATGATGCTTAGTTCTCTGCCACTGATCAAAATTTCTGATTTGCAGTGATTTACTTTTATTCCTCCTCTCTCCAGGCTTGTCATCAAGTAGCTGTCTTTAAGAGAACTCCCCTCTTTGTCTCTTTTGGGATATCAAGGCCAACTACAATAATCAGTTTCTTATTTATCATGAGTCTATCAAGTACCACCTCTTGATGAAAGCCTTCTTCAACAAGAAAAGTTCCAGGATTCCCATATTTCTAAATGGTTAATGGTTGAAACAAATTAACCCATTGGCGCCGGGTGTCACGTACGTTCATGCCATGGCTGTTGTGGACCAAGCGCCGGGGGCATCATGCCATGCCCATTCCCGCGCTACTGGCTCGTCGGAAGGAGGTTGTTTTTCTCCACTAGTAGCAGCTTCATTTATATGGTAAAGATTTTAGGCAATGGCACCTAAAGTGAAGGTAAACCTTCAAAATTTTAATATTTTTATAAATTATAGCAAAATAAAAGCTTTTAGGTGCTATATGTTGCTCGCAAACTACAGATCGAGCCGGGCGCAAACAGGGGAAACTGCCAGTGCGCGCCAACATCATCAAAGGTCATATAGCAATATGGTAAAGTATTGGGGCAAAAAGGGTAAAAAATTTAAAGATTAGGATAGAATGTGTTAGATCGCACAGATTAGAGAGTGTTATAAGATAGTATGGTATTGAAAAGGGTAAAGAGGGGAGCAAATGAAGTAAAGCAGATATTGGAGGGTCAGTGAGGGAGCAGTGTACTCCTGGGTAATCTCTAGGAAGTTTTGAATATCTTAAGAGTTTCTGGAAGGGAGCTGGGTGAAGAGGAACACAAGTTCTCTTGTGAGAAGAGGGGATAGATATCTGAAGAGCAGAGGAAGAGGAGGGTGTAGGAGAGGAAGTGGTAGAAGATGGAGTGGAACTTAAGGTTGCCTTGTGCGACAGGTAAAGTGAGGAGGGAGGGGTAGGCTTCAGGGAAGTGGTAGAGGCTGGAGTATCAGGATTTAGATGGGGGGAGAAGGGAGTTGAGGTAGGATGGTTCAGGGTAGAGGAGAGATACTGGTGGAGATGCTGAGATATCTTTAGAAGATGGGAGAGGAGCAGAGCAAAGGACAGTTTTGGAATGGGTAGAGAGAGAAACACCTCGTCACTGTACTTCTTGTCTGGCCTCGCATAGAGTGAGGCCTAGTTTGAATCTGAGAACTGCTACCTCACATTCAAGGGTATAGGCAGGGAGCCACCACAATTGACACATGTGCTTGACTGAACAGAGCTTGGGCACATATAGAGCAGTGGGCTGTAGAGTGACAATATTTGGCTGGGTGTCCAAAACACCAACATTTCTGACATTGATGAGGAAGTGGTCAATATGATTGGACAGGGCAGGACACTCCACCAACATAAACTTCACAGGGGAGGTCATATCTATAGACAGTAATCTTGGCAATATTAATATGGGACTTGCATTGGCCTCTGGGAGGAACAGTGTAGCACTGTACTGCCACTGCATCATAATGAACAAGGTAGGCAAGTAACTTGTTTTCAGTCTGACCAGTTTTTGTCATGAACAGGACAAGCAGTGGGAGACAGAAATTGTTCCAGTACAAATATTAAGAGAGAAGTGAGGTTCAGCAGGAATAGGTTTGCTAGTGAGGCCAGTCAGGATAAACTGCAAAAGGAAACTACCTACTTATTTTTGAGGACATTGTTGAAAGAGAAGGGTATTGAGTGCTCTTTGGCTGGGCCAAAGAATACTCAAAAGGTTTGCAGAGATGGAGGCATCAGAAGGACAAGGACAGGAAGATGGGATGGTGTGGATTGAAGTAGTACTGAAGGGGGGAAAGGGCAATAAGGATGAAGGGCTGCATTCTGGTTTAGTTATAACCTTTATGGGTGGCTTGGAATGGATTAGACTTGTCAATTAACATCGAGGAAGGAGTATTTGTATCAGTGATCAGAACAGTGGTCAAAGGAGAGACAGGGGTTGGAAAAGCAATAAAGCTGAATTTAGATAATCTGGTTGATGAAGGGGCAAGCCTTAATGCCCCTGGTAAGGGTAAACAATCTTCATTATTGGCCATGGTGAGCCCTAGATATGTGGGGAGAATAATACCATGATTTTGCTACCACCCTCTGCTCTCTTAGGCTCTCCATATCTTGTTTTTGTGTGGTGGTTCCGTTTTCTTAGGAGCTGTGGAAGAGAGGTCTGAGTGCTCTTTGGCTAAAGAATACTCAAAAGGTTTGCAGAGATGCATCAGAAGGACAAGGACAGGAAGATGGATGTGTGGATTGAAGTAGTAAAGGGGGAAAGGGCAATAAGGATGAAGGGCTGCATTCTGGTTTAGTTATAACCTTTATGGGTGGCTTGGAATGGATTAGACTTGTCAATTAACATCGAGGAAGGAGTATTTGTATCAGTGATCAGAACAGTGGTCAAAGGAGAGACAGGGGTTGGAAAAGCAATAAAGCTGAATTTAGATAATCTGGTTGATGAAGGGGCAAGCCTTAATGCCCCTGGTAAGGGTAAACAATCTTCATTATTGGCCATGGTGAGCCCTAGATATGTGGGGAGAATAATACCATGATTTTGCTACCACCCTCTGCTCTCTTAGGCTCTCCATATCTTGTTTTTGTGTGGTGGTTCCGTTTTATTTAAGTGAAAGATATTTTTTTTTTTTTGTGTATTCTACTTATCTCAACCACTACCATACATCTTTTTCACTCTCGAAGTTTTTTCAGTACTTCATATGTCTGTTGCTGCACATGTCAGCATTATTCTCATTTCAAGAATTAAATTCTAAGAGCCTGTATTTATATCTTGTACTTGTTACTAATGCCTTACAAAGTACACTTCAGTCATAGAGAATGAAAATCAACTAACATTAGTTCATGGGAAATAACTATCTGTATCTTAAAATTTCAAACAGTAATTAAAACTGAATACAAACATACACAAAAGAAGGATCTTGCATAAAAACAAAACATTCATAGTTTTCACATATATTTTTATGATTAGCTTAACATAATGGAATACTTATGTGAGAGATTTACACTGGCTATATTTCGTTTGTTTCTTAAAGGTTTATGGCATTTGAGATGACCTACATAAGGAATTACTTTTCCTATTTTCATCAAGGAAATAATTTTCTTCTGAGGCATAATATTTTGCATTTAGTTCGTCTCCATCGCAGTTTCGGTACCTGTAAAAGTTAGTTTTATTTCATTATAGCATCTTCTTCGTGGTCATTGTAACATATTT